CTTAAGAAAGAAGATTTAACCAAGTTAAGAAAATCAATTCTCACAAAGGCTATAAGAAAGCATATAATTTTACCTACGTACCGCATCATTTGCTTTCTATTGTATTCTCATTTGATGGAATGTGGCAAATGAAGTTAAACAGGGAAAACAGGCGACTTAGAACTACTATAGAACTCCTAGGAAAACAGGACTGGAGTTTTAAAATATAATGGGCTGTTCATTTCAGGCAGAAGACAGTAGAATATATATATTAGGCGCATTGAAGATTTAACTTGTATGTTATCATGTTGCCCATCATAAATGTACTATAAACTATTTTCAAGCACACCCATGCACGGAGTCTTATAATAAGATGAGTTCTCAGATTGCCAAAATCCGTTTGATAATGAAAGTCTATTTACATTATCAAATTCCTTCTGGAATTAAAACACACATATTGGGCAGCATCCTTACCTTAGCTATTTCGTCGGGACAAAGAGAACCTTGTATGTCTTGCTTATTTGCAAAAATCAGTAATGATGCTCCAGATAGCCTCTGCCAAGGAATAGAACAAGTCAAAAGCAGTAACAGGTAATAGATACATAATATCATTTATTCAGCTTTTGTATTTCTTATGAGTTCAAGTCCAGCCATAAATCCATAATCATCATAATAGCCTTTAATAATCCTCGATGATCAAAGATCATAACAAGAGTTACTTTTTTACTGAGTTAGAAAGTAACTTGATATTTGTCAAGCCAGGCTAGGGGATAAGAATTAAGGTCATTTATTTAACTTGAAAAGTTAAACTTGAAGAGAAGACCAGAAGTTCAATGGAACTATGAGATTGCCACCTCTGTTGAAAGCTGAACAACTGAGAAGCTACAATGACGATTGAAGCATCAGGAAGACTTGCAAAAGATCTAGAATAATTTACCAATGGATAGAAGGCCTCTTGTAGCTGTTTTAGTTGTTTAAGTTGTAATAGAACTCAATTCACAATACAATTTCACAACAACTTTTCTGAACTACTTTGCTCCTCTCTCTCAACCTTCATCTTTTTAGCTAAATCCCTGTTTGAATTTGGTAAATGAGCCAAAGTTGTGATTACAAATTGTAATGAGTTTCTTTCACTTTTAGTTCTGAACTTTCAGTCCAAAATACCCTTAGATGTAGTAGGGTGAGGTTTGGTAACAAAGGGCATTTTTTAGTATTTAGGACTAAAATTTAAACATTTTAAAAATCAACAATCAAAAGTGGAATGAATCAAAGTTGATGACCAAAAGTGAAAATATCATTATAGTTGAAAGATCAAAGGTGGAATAAACTCAACAATTATCAAAGCAGTTCATTCTTGGAATCCAAAGCTTGTTCAGATCAATATAGTTGCTAATCTGAAGTAGGGGTGTGCAATCGGTTCATCGTTCGGTTAACCGAACCGTCTTAACTGAAATTGTTAAAGCTTCAACCGTTAAGCGAACCAAACTTTGTATTACCAAATTAACCAAACCGAAGTTTTTTTCGGTTAACCGAAGTTTTTTTAGCTAAAGTTTATATCCTTAAAATAAAACCTATAATAATAAATCCAATTATTTCAATACCTATAATAATAAATAGGTAACTCCAATCCAAAATCCAAAGTCCAAACATCCATAGTCCATAGGGATTTCATTTTAGTTTTAGGGATTTTATATTATATATTTATTTATTTATTAGAAATTTTGGTTAACCATTGGTCAATTCGGTTAACCGATAGTTTCGAACCGAATTAACCATTAACCGAAATTTTACAAAACCTCTAACCATTAACTGAACCAAATTATTTCAGTTAAAAACGGTTAACCGAAGTTTGCACACCCATAATTACTGGGAAATTAAGGAGAAAATCAAGTGTAGAAGCTAGATGCAATAGTGGGTGAAAACCAAGTCCAACTAGTGGAACTCTCAACAACAACTACCACTTTTCATGGCTACTCCAACTCTAGCCAGAAATGACCAGGACTAACAGAGTTCACATGCTCAGAATCTCAGTTCAGGTAACCTTGAAAACCCTCCTCCTTTAGTGGATGGGAAAGAGGTTTTTGGAGGTAGTTGCCAAAGAAGTAAGTTGCTTTCTTCAAGATCACATGGAATACCTAGGCCACATCATCATAGGAGAAGGGATCTCCGGCTCTCCGCTAACCCATCCAAGATAGAAGCAGTCAGAATTTGGCCTAAACTCCAGATTGTGAAGTCTACGTGAGCATTTATGAGGCTGGAATGATACTATAGAATATTTGAGAATAGGTGGTTCAGACTGATACACAGACCTCTATATAATATGTAAAAGGACTAATTTTATAGACCAAAGAAGCTCAGAATGCCTTTAATGAATTCAAGCAAGCCTTGGGCATAGTTCATATCTTAGCACTGCCTGATCTATGCTAGCTCTGAAACCAATTTATAACAACCTTGGCATGTTTACAAAATTTGAATAGATACATAGCTATGAAATTATTGAGAGTAGAGAGAGAGAGAGAGCAAAGTGAAATTGAGAAAAGTCAAGTTTGAGTGGAATTGTATCAAGAATTGAGTTATATTACCCAACTTAAAGCTTGAATGTTAAAAAGAGGCTATATATACACTGCTAAAGAGCCCGTCATGTGACATTGTTTACTTCCATAATGATGCCATTTTATTCCAATTCTTTTATTTTGTATGTACAAGCCATCACTACAGTACTATGTGCAATCCAGTTAAGTTTATAGTCATAACACTAAATGTGTTCAATTGTCAAAAGATTCAGAAATAAATAAATGATTATTTCAGTTTAATAATTAAAAATAAATAAAAAAATCCAGTGCAATGCAACAATTACTGGCTAATAAGCCATAATGAGAGTGTCAGTGTATAGGAATATATATCATGCATTATGCTGTCCAAGTCAAGTAGAAAGGGTTAAACTAGAAGACATATGAAGTATTTAAGTTCTTTCTTAGTGGCAGGCCAAAATGCATGCATGGAAATTTTTCCCTGGAACAATATAGCATGAAACCCTCACACTGAAAGGAGTCCATTATATCTATAAAAACAAACACAGCTCAAATTTAGGGTGAAACCGGACATTCCAAAGGAAAAATGAAGAAGAGAGGAGAGTAAAACAAAAAGCAGACCATATATATTGTTATAGATTGCAACTATTAGTGTGTGTGTGCGCGCATGCATGCACAACTGCACAAGGCAGAAATTGATAGCTCCAAGTATACCTCTTCTTTCAAAAGATTATGCAATTCATATCTGCAGTCATCTAGCCTTCTAAGATCAGAACTATCCACAACCCACACCAAACCGTCAGTTTGTTCAAAGTAGTTCCTCCAGTAGGACCTTATGGTTTTTTGGCCCCCAACATCCCATATATTTAGTGTATATCTGCCAACAGTCAATTCGTATAAAAGTTCAGAGAAATACTACCAACAAGATAAGAAGAAATCATTGTTTCAACAGTTGATAAATAAAACCAAAATCTTACGCTTAAAAAAGTTTTTAAAAAATGTTCGTTGTACAAAGGAAAGTTTTTTCATCTCTTAAGTAAAAACAATAAAATTGCTATGTATAGCAAATAATGCCTTAGTAGACACAAAACCTGAATTAGTCAGTAAACTAACAAAACAACCTATGTAAGTCACGTGGGAAAGGATACAATAAGGACCATAATACAACCAAGAAAATACTAATTAAGATAACAGTGCCCCCCTCAAATCCCCCAATTCAAAAGCTTGGAAGGAATTCTGTTGAATCCTCAGTAAAGATAATGGCTCAGCCACTTAATATCAGAGAAATTAATCCTCCGTATAAGGGATATGCATCTTGGACCACTTGGAGAACAAGTTATGCAAAAGTCAATAACTACAGATAAGGGGAAAACAAAAGCAGAAACCATACTTCTGATATGCAATGGTTTTGATGTTGAAGCCGAGTGTCGGACTGATAACACTGGTGTCTTCACCATTTATTTTCAAAACTATGGTTGTCTTGCCTGAGTTGTCAAGTCCCCTGAATAAAAACATTAGCAACAAGTTTTCAGGAAGAACCAAAAATAGAACTTCTGAGACACGAGGAAAAAGTATTGGATTGTTAACTTACACCATAAGAATGCGCATTTCTTTTTCTTTCTTCTTGATCTTTCGGATGATGCTAAGAAGTCCCATTCTCTTGACCTCCTAGTTACTAAAAGATGATGCTAAAACAAGAAAAATATGTAAAGAAAGTAGGAGAAGACAGACAGCACCTTTATTAGAACATAACATAAACATGATAGAACTTGAAAGAGCTAAAAAGAAAGAAAAAGAAACAGCCCAAATGGCACAGCATCTAGTATTCTAGCCCCATAGTTAATTCACCAGCCCATATAAAAAGCAAGAGAAAAGAGATACAGAGAAATCAAAGATAACAATACATGAAGAGTTTTACTCTGTGTTATGCTAACTAGTAGGCTCATAGCAAGGAAATAAATTATCATATAAATCTAATCCAGATTAAGCTGTAATTGAATAGAACATGTACTTAAAACATACATACATATAAATCAAAGTATGCCATATATCTTTGCAAATGCTATTCTAATGGGAAAATATTCCGTGTTTAAACTACTCAATAGTGCAGTCAATAGTGTTTCCAATTTCCATTGCACAGAAGAGATTATACTATCACCTTGAGAAATAGTATCTTCAAAGTACATCAATACAATAGATAATCTTCTGTTTTCATTACATTACAATTACAATGCTATTATTAATCTATAGCTCTAATCACACACTTTGATGATTACTTCTCACCCTAAAGCCCTTCAATTTCAATCTAGGTTTAATTTCATCTTTAATCCAAATCTCAATCTTTTTTATCATTTTTATCCGAAATCAGCAATCCTTTATAAGTCGACAGCATCAAGAATTTTATTTGATTCTTCCTGCGCCTTCATGCGACACCTACAATTCTATTAAAAAAAATTCGAAAAGAATTTGTACTCACTTGTGGCTGCGAAGATGGCTGACAAATTGATGGCTTCTCGTTCGTCTAGTGACACTGGTGATTTGCTGAGGACCAGAGAAATAGCAGCTACAGAAATGAACACTGCAAGATGAGCGCAGTGTTGATTGAGGCAGGGCACGAAAGGCTGGAGAGTAGATATTCAAATTTTGAGATGCCAAAAGATTTGTGAATTTGTCAATACTTCGTGATATAGCATTAATTAATTGGTTCTTAAACTTTTTTTTTTTTTTAATTAGCGGTGAATTAGGTAAAATTGGATTAGGTAATTTAGGGCATCATTAATAGTGGAAGTTTTGGTGTAGTTTTTGTAGGTATAATTAGGAAAAAGAAAATAGAAAGAAATCTATATGAGTCAATTACCAATTTGGTCCCTCGATTATGAGGATTTCACCAATTTGATCCTTGACTATCAAAATTTTTCAATTTAGTCCCCGACTATTTGATCCCCAGTGTTAATTTCCGGTCAAGGGCAATTTGGGAATTTTAAAAAAATATTTCTTCTCAAAGTTTAAGTCGTTTGTTTGAGCCGAGGATTGCCCTTTAGGTGATTCCGGCATCTGCCGTCTTAGCTAGCCGGAATGAATCGAGTTGGGCCCAATCCGGTGATGTCGGCGGTGAATTCATGGGGAAAATCCCTTATTCTCATCCACATCTGAACCCTAATCCTAACCCTAGGTCTAACCCCAAGAAAAAATAGAAACACTTCCATCAAACGGCGAAAGACCAACCTAACGACGATTCGCCGGTCGTCACGCAGGCCGCCTCAGATGATGCGTATTCGTTCAATCAACGGCCTATCAAATCGAATGGCCTCAATTTCGGAGGTTATTTGACCTACAACGTCACGTCGTACACGAAAAGCGAGCTCAATGAGCTTCAGAAACGGCCAGTATCGGAGCTTGAACAGATCCGTAACCTGAAGGATCGAATCGAGTCCGGTCACTTCAGTACCACCGTCAATAACCCAAGATCTCACGGGAAATCGAAGAAATTATCGGCAAATAAGTGGCCGATGTCCTTTGGATCCAATAAAGATCCGGAAAAGTTTTGTAATGGTGTTGATAATGTTAAGAGTGTTGGTGTTGTTGGCAGAGGAGGGATCAATGGAATCGGTCTGGAGAATATGATGAAGGATTGTAGGCAAATTTTGTTGAAGCTGATGAAGCATAAAAATGGTTGGATTTTCAATACGCCCATAGATGCAGTCGCCTTGGGTCTTCATGGGCAAATTATGCTAAAACGACGCTGTCTTAACTAAAAAAAAAAAAATTTGTTAGAAACGGCGTTAACGGCATATTCATTATGAAATTATGGATATACAGTTATGACATTATGAATGTACAGTTATGGAATTATGAACTTACAATTATGAACATAGAGCTTCGAAAATTATGAATGTTCGGTATGGAATTATGAATATACAGTATGGAATTATGAATGTACAATTATGGAATTATGAATGTACAGTTATGGAATTATGATTGTACAGTTATGGAATTATGATTGTACAGTTATGAAATTATGAATGTACAGTTATGAAATTATGAACATAGAACTCTGACATTATGAATTTACAATTATGAACATAGAGCTTCGAAAATTATGAATTTACAGTTATTGAATTATGAATGTACAGTTACGGAATTATGAATGTACAGTTATGGAATTATGAATGTACAGTTATGAAATTATGAACACAAAGCTGTGAATATATACTCTTATAACGAAGCGGTCTGAAATTAAATTTAAAAAAAAAAAAAAAGAAGAAGAAGAAGAAGAAGAAGATAATGGTGCCTGACGGCACCATTACCGTGCCCATGATGCACGCTGGGCACGAGCCCACAGCATAACGACTCGTCTTCATGATTATCTCCAGATTGTTAAGAGGCCCATGGATTTGGGCACAGTAAAATTCAATTGTTGTTTGAGAAGAAGATACTTTTTTTAAAATTTCCAAATTGCCCTTTAAGTTTGACCGGGAATTAACACTGATGACCAAATCGGGTAAAATAACATAGTCGAGGATCAAATTGAGAAATTTTGATAGTCGAAGACTAAATTGGTGAAATCCTCATAGTCGAGGGATCAAATTGGTAATTAACTCAATCTATATCTATATCTATATATATAAGTAAAATTCTCCTAACAAATTTTCCCCCCAAAACTTTTGTAGTAAAACTTATTTGGTAAGTAATTGTCAAATAGAAATTAAATAAAATCTATTAATTGGTAATATTATATATGATATTATATTCTATAATATAATATAATTGATAATATTATTGTTCAAGTATAATAGAAATATTATTGTTCAAGTATAAAATAAAATTAAAATAATAACAATAACAATAACAACAACAACTACTACTACAACAACAACAACAACAACAACAACAACAATAATAATAATAATAATAATAATAATAATCCAATCAAAACTATATACAAAATAAAATTAAAATTAAAAAAAAAAAAAAAAAAAAAAAAAAAAAAAGAGACAAAGGTGGCTCCCCTTAGTAAATGATGTGGGATCATTTTGATCCCACGTTGAAAATGTTTGGAAAGAGGAGCTCTTGATCTCCTCTATATAAGAGGTGCAATGCTCCTCTTACAATCATACAATTGCTTGCACATCAATGTGGGCAAGTATTGAAAAGTCCAAAGGCTTTTTATAGTACAACTATTGACCCGACAAATTATGCTGTGGAATTGTGTCCACCTTGCAAGGTAGACATGGTTCAAAAATAGGTCATAATAATAATCAATATATAGTTCAAAAATTATGAATATATAGTTCTATAATTATGAACATAGTGTTGTGAAAATAATTATGAACACATAGTTATATAATTATGAATATAGAGATTCAATAATTGTGAATATGAAGTTTACAAATTATGAATATATATCTTTATAATTATGAACATATAATTCAAGAACTATGAACATAGAGTTTTGTAATTATGAATATAGAGTTCAATAATTATGAATATGAAGTTCAAAGATTATGAATATATAGCTTTATAATAGTGAACTTATAGTTCAGTATTTATGAACATAGAACTGTGTCCACCTTGCAAGGTGGACATGGTTCCAGAACCTATTAAAACCTAACGTGTCAAATGGCTCTTATTTAAAAAACTTATCATAATGGATTCTTAATTATTTTTTTAAATTTATTAGGGAGTTTGGGAAAGATTAACCAAAAATGTATATTTGTTTTTTTTTTTTTAGCAGTTTCGAGCAAATTGTTAAGTTATTAAATAATATTTTTGGTGTTTCGATAAAATATAAAATGTTAAACAAACGAATTTCTTAAAATTTTGACGAATTTTCCAAATAATCAAATTACAATAACAACAACAACAACAATAATAATAATAATCATCCAAACAAAATTATATACAAAATAAAATTAAAATTAAAATTAAAAAACAAAAAAAAAAAAAAAACAAAAAAAGACAAAGGGGAGTCACGGACTTCCTTTGTAAATGATTTTGAGATCATTTTTATCCCACATTGAAAATGTTTGAAAAGAGAGAGTTCTTCTATATAAGAGGAGCAATGATCCCCTTACAAACATAATTTCTTGCCCATCAATGTGGGCAAGTATTGAGATGTCAAAAAGGTTCTTATTTAAGAAGCTTCAACTTTGTCTTCTTATTTTAGTTTTTATTTATTTATTATTTATTTATTTATTATTAATGTGGGTTGTGAAAGATTAACACAAAATGTATGTGTTGTATTAATTTTTAGCCATTTGGAGCAAATTACTGAGTTACTATATAATTTGACGAATTGGTTAAAATTTTGGCGAATTTATCAACAATCAAATAATAATAATAATAATAATAATAATAATAATAATAATAATAATAATAATAATAATAATAATAATAATAATCGAAACAAAACGATATACAAAATAAAATTAAAACTAAATTAAATAAGAAGAAGACAAAAGGGTGCCACGGACCCCCCTCTGTAAATGATGTTGGATCATTTGATCCCACATTGAAAATGTTTAGAAAATGAGCTCTTGAGCTCCTCTATATAAGAGGAGCAATGCTCCTTTTACAAACATAATTGATTGCCCATCAATGTGGGCAAGTATTGAGAAGTCCAAAGTTTTTTTTTTTTTTTAGTACTATTGACCCGATAAATTAAGCTGTGAAATTGTGTCAACCTTGCAAGGTAGACACGATTCCAAAATTGTTCATAATTATGAATATATAGTTCAACAATTATGAACATATAGTTTTAATTTATAATTATGAACATAGTGTTGTGAGCATAATTATGAACATATAATTATGTAATTTTGAATATAGAGATTCAAAACTTATTTCGTAAGTAAATGTCAAATGGAAATTAAATAAAATCTATTAATTGGTAATATTATATATGGTATTATATTATATAATATAATATAATTGATAATATTATTGGTAATAGTTATAACTTTATTCAAAATCTATTAATTGGTAATATTATTGGTAATAGTTATTGGTAAAAATTAACCCAAAATGTATGTGTTGTATTAATTATTAGTAGTTTGGAGCAAATTTCTGAGTATTATATAAAATTTTTGTTGTTATGATTAAGCTTAAAATGTTAAAATGACGAATTTGTTAAAATTTTGACAGGATTTATCAATAATAATAATAATAATAATAATAATAATAATAATAATAATAATAATAATAATAATCCAAACAAAACAATATACAAAATAAAATTAAAATTAAAAATAATAATAATAAGACAAAAGGGAACCACGGGCTCCCTTTGTAAATGATGTTGGGTCATTTTGATCCCATATTGAAAAAGTTTGGAAAGAGGAGCTCTTGAGCTCCTCTATATATTACTTCTCTTACAAACACAATTGTTTGACCATCACTGTGGGTAAGTATTGAGAAGTCCAAAGGCTCTTATTATTATTATTATTATTATTATTATTATTATTATTATTATTATTTTTTTAGTATTATTGACCTGATAAATTATGCTGTGGAACCGTGTCCACCTTGCAAGGTAGACACGGTTCCAAAATTGTTCATAATTATGAATATATAGTTCAAAAATTATGAACATATAGTTCTATAATTATGAATATAGTGTTGTGAACATAATTATGAACTTATAGTTATGTAATTATGAATATAGAGATTCAATAATTGTGAATATGAAGTTCACAAATTATGAATATATAATTTTATAATTATGAACATATAGTTCAATAATTATGAACATAGAGTTTTGTAATTGTGAATATAGATTTCAATAATTATGAATATGAAGTTCAGAGATTATGAATATATAGTTTTATAATTATGAACATATAGTTCAGTAATTATGAAAATAGAATTGTGTCCACCTTGCAATGTGGACACGGTTTCACAGCATAACTATTTATAAATAGTCAATGAAAATTAAAAATGAAACGAAAATATTAGGTAAAAATATCATTGCATCTATATTCTAATTGACTAATTGACTAAAAATAAAAAAGAAATATTGACTGAAAATGAATCTAATATTACAAATTGACTGAAATTATAAGAGGAAATGAATATTAATAATTGACTGCAAATAAAAAATGATCCATAATTGACTAAAAAACAAGAAAAAAATGGTCAGATTATTGCATTTTAATTAAAAAATGGAATGAAAATTAAAAATTGGAGGGAAATATTTCAATAATAATATTCTACATTATCAATAGTAAATGCATATTTTAAAAAATAGTAAAAGTAAAGAATGGAAATATTTCAATAATAATATTTACATCATCAATTAAAAATGGAACGAAAATTATGTAAAAATATCACTGCATTTGATATTCTAATTGAAAAAATATAAAAGGATAACTAATTGAGATTCTACCATTATATATTTTCACCCAAGTAACCCGTCATGTTGGATTGAAGGTGTTAGCTCTAGATGAAGATGAACAAGATTGTGTTGCCACTAACAATGTCGTCTAGAAAGTGGTTTCAATAATGTGTAAATATAATCGGTGATATTAAGTTTTTTTTTTTAAATGAAAAAAATTGTTATATATCTAGACAAAAAAATATATCTTCCATACAAATGAATAAGGATAGCAATTCATTTCTATAACTGAGCTGTTAGAGTACGAGCACATTTGCCTAATTTATGAAAATACTAAACAATGATAAATAAAATTTTTAAAGTTATAGCACCGCATGCGTACATCTAGACATTAGCTATTAATTTGAGCAATTATTTGCACAAATTCAAAAAATGATGTCATTAAAATATATAAACGATCTAAACCATATCTTTAAGTGCACTATATAATATTTGATGTTCTAATTTAAATAATTATATATAAATTCATATATTCTTAACAAATTCATTCCGTGCATCGCACGGGTGCAAATACTAGTAAAAATAAAACATAAAAACCAAAACAAAATAAGAAAAAGTAAATTAAAAAAGTAAAAAGTGACATTGTAAGAAGCAAAAACCAAAAGAAAATACTTGGGGTGTACTCCCATTTTAAACTTCTAACTTGTACTCCCTCTCAAATGCTCTTGATGTAGACATTTTTCTGCGGACCCACATGATGAAAATAATCAATCCTGATTTGTCACCTCAGAGAGTATAAATGAAGGAGTAAAATTTTGGGAGTCTATGTAGTAGAACTCAAAACCAAAACCACCGTCTGTCTCTTTCTTCAGCTGGGGTCCACAACCTGACAAAATTTTCATATTAACATAAGCACCCCAAATCTTCTCTCACTTTATTCTTTTTCATCCATATAAACAATTTTTCCTAAAACAATGTGAACAATCCCCTTATTGGGGATGCCCTAAGCACCCAATGATTGAAAATTACATTAGGAAGGAAATGATGGGAGAGGAAGTTCAGGAGGGGGTAAGCCATCCTTATCCGTGCAAATTTCTCTAGTTTTTTTTTTTTTTTTTTTTTTTTTTTTTTTTTTTTTTTTTAAATTGATATCACTTTCAAATTATTAATTTTGTGAATTTTTCACTATTTGTTCTACATCCATGTAAATCCCTCACTTTAAAAAACAACTCATATTTTCACAGAAATTCGTATAGTTCTAGACTTTTTACCTCTTTCGAAACCAACAAGCTAGTTGGCCGGACATTAGAATTAAAATGATTCATTTATCTTAGAATACATGATAAAATTTTAAAGAGTTTTATCTCCAATATTCAATCGACCAACTATTTTATACGGTTATCTCTTAAGGGGTCTTCTTTTTATAGATAAGATGGTTGCACGCCTACTCAAAAATCAAATTTGTCTATTGCCATTCAAAGTGGTAGTAGCCCATAAGCTACCACAATTTTCAAAAAGTTGTTGTCGTATCCTTGATTTGCGCTACTATGAACCATAGGGTAAAGACTGTTTCCATATCAGTGTATAATTAAACGCACTTTGTCTCAAAAAACATTTTTCTTGTATGTAGACTAGTAGGTGTCAGATAGTCAATTTGGCATGTGTCTAACATCTCTTTCTCCTTCCTCATATGAACTCCTTCTAGATTGATACATTCCATTTGCCAAAATAATCTTGATCGCAAAATGGTACATACGAAACCAAAGGATTGAACAAAATGATGAGCCCGGGGAAGAATTAGAGCAACGAAAGTGTTGAGCGCACAAAAGAGAACCTCTAAGTTATACAATTCAAACTCCATCTAAAAGGGTATTGTATATATAGTGATGTAAATCCACTTCCACACCAATGTGGGGCAAGTGCTTCTTCCAAGCCTTTCCACCTTCATTTTCCAAATCAAATGGATCTAGTTTGAGAATCAATTTCTCATTCACCAATATCCGCTTTTAGCGTATAATATATCAATTTCTTCATCTCCATATGAAGACCTCAAATCCACTTTGACCGGACCAAAATCAGAAGTGGACCCTGCACATATTTGTACCACAAAATAGTCAATTAAATACTATTTTTTGCTAAAAATTCCAATAATGTTGTCCAATTTCTTCCAAGTTGATTATTTCTTTTGACCGAGCTTCTTCCGAATGCACTCATTGTGCTTTCTTCTTGCGATTAGAATTCTTATGTTGACATCCTTTCGTCTGGATAGTTTCTGACACGAAACGGAAGTGAAGTGCGATTTACAACAGAAGAGTTTAAGACTTTAAGGGGTCTACAAATACTAATACAAATATGCTTAGCATCATCAAAATCTACAAACAATTATTCCCAACATATCAAGTTTCAATAAACTTATAAGTCATTACGCATGAAAATGTATAATCATTAAAAAAAAAGTTGTCTAGTAATATCCACAAGTTATTTATTTACCACACTAATAATATAATTAAAGAGAATTAAATTGGACATGATAGCAGTAAGTTAAAAATCAATTGAACTTAATAGCAAATGAATACAAATTAATTCATTTTTAAGTGATTCAACTTTATTTGTTAGTAAGTACTCCGTATAATTTAAAAGATGTCTAGGTAATTATGAATAATTTGTAATGTATTTGTCTCTAAAATGTGCTATTAATCAAATATTTTTGGCAATAATGGAAGGATCTAGGGTGTGTTTGGTTGATGGGTTTTGCTCACATGAATGGGTATGAAAGTGATTGTTATTGTTTGGTTAATTAATAGGTTTTTAAAACACAACTATGTGTTTTGAATACCCCATTAATTGAAAAATTCATACCCCAATAAAACAATCTTTATGCTGTGCATCCGTATGCACCATGCATGGTGCATACAGATACAAAAACGACGTCGTTTTGACGTCTAACTAAAAAAAAAATATTCAGAATTACATGTATAACTACACATCCATAATTTCATAACTATACATCAGAATTACATAACTACACATCCATAATTCATAACTATAAATCCAGAATTGCATAACTACACATCCATAACTTACATCCAGAATTGCATAACTATACATCCATAACTTCATAACTATAAAATTCAGAATTGCATAACTACACCATGCATAATTACACATCCATAATTTCATAACTATAAATCCAGAATGGCATACCTACACATCCATAATTTCATAACTAAAAATTCAGAATGAATGAACAAAAAAATGAACAACATAATGTTGTTGCTGGGAATCGAAACTGATTTATTTTTTTAAAGGACGCGCGTTTTGATACAAAACGACGTCGTTTTTGCATCCATGGTGCATACGGAGGCACAACATAATTTGCTCCAATAAAATAAGAGTTTCATTCCATTATTCCTTTTCAAGCACTACTATTAGTAATCATTCTCATTCCACCCTACTACCAAACATGCTAAATACTTCTACCAAAATCCATTACCATTACCAAGTACTTGATACCCATTCCGATTCCGATTCCCATGTGCGAACCAAACACGGCAATTTATATCGTGCACCACGGTGCACATAGCAATATGCGCCCAGGCACAAAACGCGCGCGTTTCATGCTGACGTCATACTGACATCACTCCGTCCATCCGAACAGACCAAACCTCATTATGTGTTTTCAGTTAAAATTTTATGTGTATTGTGTTATGAGTTTATGTGTATTCAGTTAAGAGTTTATGTGTATTATGTTAACCAAACTCATTATGTGTATTCAGTTAAAAGTTTATGTGTATTGTGTTATGAGTTTATGTGTATTATGTATTATGTTAGACTATGTGTATTCTGTTATGAGTTTATGTGTATTCTGTTATGAGTTTATGTGTATTCTGTTATGAGTTTATGTGCATTTGAAACAGGAAATTTTTTTTTCTAACAACTTAACAAAACGACGTCGTGTTGGGAGGCGCAGAGCGCACAGTGCTATGTGCGCCCTGGTGCACGTAGACATGACCACGGTTCCGGTTCCGGTTCGGAACCGGCGGTTCCGGTTCCGTATTTGGTCAAACCGGAACCGGAACCTTATATTAAGGTTCCGGTTCCGGAACCGGTATTTTTTTTTTTTTTTTTTTTTGTAAATTGTAAGTTTTTAAGTATTGTTAGGCCTTGAGTTTGAGTAAATTTTTTTTTTTTTTTAAAGATGACAGTTGTAACTTGTAAGTTTAAGTGAAATAAAATGTTTAACTTTGCTATGTTTTAATACAAAGACCTTATGAGAATAGCGACCAGAGAGCATTGAAACTAATAAAGGCAATTCTTAGGCCATTAATGATTAGGATAACAAAGGAAACAAAAGACAATAAATTTTTCATTGTCATTTGTTTCCTTTATTTTTCTAAACATTAATAGACTAAGAATTACCTTTATCAGTTTCAATACTCTCTGGTCACTACTCCCATAAGGTCTTTATATTAATTTATTCATAGCAAAATTAAGTAATTTATTTCACTTAAACTAAAAAAAAATTTAATAATTTTAAAAATGCAAAATTTAATAATTTTGCATTTTTTTTTTATTTTTTCGGTTTGGAACCGGAACCGGTTCCAATATTATAGGAACCTTAACCGGAACCTTATAGGTTCCGGTTAAGAACCGGAACCGGAACCGTACGGACGGTTCCGGTTCGGTTCCGGTTAGCACAGTGACGGTTCCGGTTACGGTTCCGGTTTGAACCGGAACCGTGGTCACCCCTAGGTGCACGGTATAACGATTGACCAAACACACCCTAAGATCTATCATGTATGTAGGTAAATAGAGTGAAATTTGTTACGAACGTTTCTCAGGTTGAAAATCATGTGTTTTTTTATTTATTTATTTATTTATTTTTTATAACCAGGTGGTTTGTTTATTAACTGAAAAATTTATCTTGTTTTCTAGAAAACTGGATACTGGAAGAATAGAAAACAAAAACCATGTTTACTTGCACAGTTATTCATTTAGAAAACTGGAAAACTTTTAAAAACTGTTTTCTAATTGAAAAATAAAATTATCTATCATCCATTTGTCTATATGTCACTATAACCACATTCTCACCCGACCTTAATTATCTACTTAGGGTGTGTTTGGTTCGTACATGGGAATCGGAATCGGAATGGGTGTCAAATACTTGGTAATGGTAATGGATTTTGGTAAAAGTATTTTGCATGTTTGGTAGTAGGGTGGAATGGGAATGATTAGGCTAAGGATGAATAATGGGATGAAACCCTTCTAAAATAAGGGAATAGGTTTTTCCATTAATGGGTATTCCAAACCCATAGTAGTGTTTTAAAAACCAGTCAACCAAACAATAACAATCACTTTCATACCCATACCAGAGTGCTAAACCTGCCAACCAAACACACCCTTATATATGCATTTATTACTATGGTTACATTCATTATCATCAACTTTTACTTATAATAACCATCTTCGATCTTTTATACTTGCATTACTTATTTAAACATAACTTATTTGTTTACGTTTAAAGTTAGACATTATTCACATTATCAACAACAAAAAAAAAAAAAGTTGAACTTTATATCAAGTTTTATATTTTGATTGAACTCAATAGATTATTGGTTCGAATATTTTAATTAATCATAATACAAGTTTGGTCCGGATATCAGATATTGAAATTTCACATATATTATAATTCAAAATAAATATAAAAATTACTCCGTATATATTTATAACATATCATTCAAATGAATATATCCAAAAATACATTACTACAATTATAAGCTTTTACATTATTTTTTCTATATATATAAAGCAATCCCTTTTTTTTTTTTTTTTTTTTTTTTTTTTTTTTTTTTTACAAAGGAAGGGGACACTCACATATATACACAATATTCGCATACACTAAGACTTGAATACTAGACCTTCCACATAAAAAACCAAATCAGTGTGAACCACAAGCCACTTAGTATATAACAATCCTCTTTACACAAATATGTCCAGACATTTCATTATTAATTAGTTTCTGCGGCCGACTGGAATATAACACTTGGGAGGCCGGCAAAGGTACATATAACATAATGAAGGGTACGTACGTATATCATTTTAATTTATATTTCATAGCCCAATCCCAGCCTGTAATCTTGCTGCTAGGAACCACAATACGTTAATTGGAGGTGCAATGACAAGAGAATTATTTGTTTAACAATTATCCATCATTGACTTCTTAATATAATGCATGATTACAAATTATATATGGAATAGTGCTCAAATGGATATACAATCATGTACCGATCACTGCCCGAACATTTTGACACATGGAGATCATCACATTATTGACACAGGAAATTAAAGAAAGTATTTTTAATCCTTATCCCAAGTATTTTTAATCCTAAATTTATAGGTGGTAGTCTATTTTTAGAACATTCTCTGATCTTTTGATCTTAGTATTATTGTGGTATTTTATTTTTTTTCTCTATTAACAAAATTATTGAAATGTCGTTAAATATAAGGTTATTTAGTTTTTAGGCTAGATTCGTAGATGCATGGAAGCTAGAAAAAAAAAAGTAAATTAAAAAAAAAAAAAGTTTGTACGCGTATAATTGTACCATTCAAAAAAAAAAAAAAGTACTAGTTTTTTACGCGCATTGCGCGATTGGGATAATGTCCAATACTTTTTTTTTTTAAATAAGTACTTTAAAATATATTAAGGCAGGATTATATTGAAATTGTTCATGCATAGATAATTGAAGATTGAATTTGCGTATTTAAATAGGTAATTCTTCTCCCAAAGGTTGAGTCCTCAACCCCAAGGGCCCCTACACTCCGGCCCGACAGAGCATTGTGGGAAGTTGTAAATGACGGTGACTCAATGGTTCAGTAGACAGGGCCAAATGCTGATACGCACAAGGAATCTGCCCACTTTGGACATAATTCTCGCACTACTGCCGCTGAGGTTCAAACGTTGGTCTCTTCTCCCAAATACTACCCACTAAACCATTGAGCTAAGCCCGTGCGGGTTAAATAGGTAATTCTCAGTTTACAAATGCAAGATAATATAATCAAGATTGATTATAATTGTCAATAAAATAATTGTATAGGTATAGTTGAAACCAAATACGGGACGTAAAGGAGAACACATAAAAATTAGGGCATAAAATATTAAATATATACTAATATTGTTTGAGGAGATTCCGACTTTAGGATTTGTGGTTAAGTTCTATTAATACTTTAATATTAGAATTAGATTAATGGTGTAGTTATAATTCTATATTAGACTTTAATATTAGAATTAGACTAACGGTGAATTAACAGAAAAGTTAAATGGATAATCATATAATTAAGGATAAATTAGAAAATTTTAAAAGAAAAAAAATTATAACCTGAACAATATGAACCATTCATTTGATTTAATAATTTGGCGGTCATTTTTTCTACCCAATGTTAATAATTAAATAAATTCGCTGGTCAAATCCGCTAATTGCTGATTGTCAAACAAGGACATTGCGAGGTAGTTCTCACTTCAATTTGTTGTATGATTTGAATACTTTCTTTGTCACAAAATCTCTCAAAGTAGTTAATATGGTTGGCTTTATTAATTATATATTTTTTTTTAATTTTTTCATGGTATTAATAAAATAATTGGTAAATAAATATATAGCATTATTTTGTATTATAACTTTGATATTTAATTAGAAAAATAGTGCACAAAAAACATAATAGATAATGTAGTGAATATAATCAATTGATGAATTTGAATGTAAAAATTTTTACATTTGAGAAAAATAAAGACAATTTAACTAATGAAAATATTTCTTTTAATTAATTTATTGATAATTAATAATTTTTTTTCACTGAATAAAGACATTGTAAGGACAATGTAGCGAATATAATCAATTAATAAATTTGAATATAAAGAATTTTTATATTGAAGAAAAATAAAGACAATATAACTAATAAAATTATTTCTCTTATTTAATTTATTGATAATGAATAATTTTTTTTTTTTGAATAAAGGCATTGTGGACACATAATTCTAAATTAAAGAAATGCATATGTATTATTTTTTGTTGTAACTACTAAATTATTATTTATATAATTTAATAAGAGTAAAATAGAGTACTAATTATGCCAACTTTGATTGGGATGAGATTCGAACCTAAGATCTTTTTTTTTTTTAATTTTTATTGAAATCAATGAGTAAGTTAACGATGAACTAACGACAATTCTTAAAATTTTAACGGAATTAGTAACGATGTGTGGGTATTTTAGGAAATTTAGTGTAAAATTTAAATCTGATCAATCTTTTAATCAATATGAACCATTCATTTGATTAAAATCTGTGACCGCCATTTTTTCTACCAATTATAGGTCTAACTCTCTTGGGCTCTTATTAGTATAGTAGATAAGAAAGTGAAGTAGTGAATGATGGATGGAACAATCATTAATATGTATGAGAATAATGTAGCACATCACATGTCGTACAACAATTTGTACGGAAAAATACTACATGTACTCCATTTTATATTCTCACATATAAAATTTTGATGTAGACACTTGTATTGAGATTCACGTAGGAAAAAGTAGTTTATCAATATCTGCTACATCAGGGAGTAAAATTTAGGGAGTACGTATGGTTTGGGGGTCTGTACAGTAGAACCATTTGTACGTAAATAGTTTGTAAATATATTACCATTATCAATTAAATTATAGCAATGGAAAAAATATTTGAGATGAGATCAGCAGATAGAGAGTTTTTTTTTTTTTTTTTTTTTTTTTTTTTTTTTAATATTATTGACTCTATTACAATGTAGTATATATTCTATACTTTCTTTAACTAATGCAGTTCAAGGAGTCAATAACCACTATTGAAGTAGGAGAGTTACAGATGTGTTATTTGAGCACAAAGTGTTTGGCGACAGATAGAGAGTTAGTTAGTTAGCCAATTAAATTAGAATTGAATGGTCGACCCTTCACATGGCCAGTTATAAATGATGGCACCAAAACATTCCTCCATACAACTTTCAATCAACGTAAGATATTAATTTTCAACAGACGATACAAACTAAACTAGGAGGACGTCGAAATAACTCCAATTTTTAAGCATTTCTAACCAAATATATATATATATATATATATATATATATATATATATATATATATATATAAATTATATTTTTCATCAAAAGGATTACATTTTTCCTTAAAGTAATGTTGACAAATGTTTGTTACTTATAATAGAAAACTAGTTTTTTACGCGCATTGCGCGAGTGGGATAATGCCCAATGTTCTTTTTTTTTTTTTTTTTTTTTTTTAAATAAGTATTTTAAAGTATATCAAAGCAAGATTATATTGGAATGTTCATGCATAGATAATTGAATGTTGAATTTGCGTATTTAAATAGGTAATTTTAAGTTTACAAATACAAGATAATATAGTCAAGATTGATTACAATTATCAATAAAATAATTGTATAGGTATAGTTGAAACCAAATATGGGACATAAGGGAGAGCAAATAAAAATTAGGGCATAAAATATTAAATATATACTAATATTGAAGAGCTAACTACTGATTGGCAAACAAGGACATTGTGAGGTAGTTTTCCACTTCAATTTGTTGTATGATTTGAATACTTTTTTTTGTCAATAAATCCCCCAAGTTGTTAATATAATTGGCTTAATTATACTACGTATTTTTTTATTTTTTTTATTTTTAAAAACAATTATTATTATTATTATTATTATTATTATTATTATTATTATTATTATTATTATTATTATTATTATTATTATTATTATTATTAAATATATGTATTCCCTTAGGTCATTTTAGATGTTAATCTAAACAACTGATTTTTTCAAATATCTTTTTACCAACCGTTGATATAATTCATTGGTCAAATCCGCTAACGCTAACCGCTAACTGCTGATTGTCAAACAAGGACATTGCGAGATAGTTCTCACTTCAATTTGTTCTGTGATTTGAATACTCTCTTTGTCAACAAATATATCAAATTAGTTAATATGATTGGCTTTATTAATTATATTTTTTTAAAATTTTTTCATGGTATTAATAAAATACTTGGTAAATAAATATATAGCATTATTTTGTATTATAACTTTGATATTTTTAATTAAATAGTGCACAAAAAATATAATAGACAATGTAGTGAATATAACCAATTGATGAATTTAAATGTAAAGAATTTTTACATTGGAGAAAAATAAAGACAATATAACTAATAAAATTAATTCTCTTAATTAATTTATTGATAATGAATAATTTTTTTTAATAAAGACATTGTAGGGACAATGTAGCGAATATAATCAATTGATGAATTTGAATGTAAAGAATTTTTATATTGAAGAAAAATAAAGACAATATAACTAATGAAATTATTTCTCTTATTTAATTTATTGATAATGAATAATTTTTTTTTGAATAAAGACATTGTAGACACATAATTCTAAATTAAAGAAATGCATATGTATTATTTTTTGTTGTAGCTACTAAATTATTATTTTAATTTAATAAGAGTAAAATAGTGTACTAACTAGTATTTGCACCCGTGCGATGCACGGCCATAAATATAATTAATAGAATATATAGTATTATAATTTTAAAAAACAACACAAAATTTGAATTTTATTAGACATTATTGAATACTTCTTTATATACGACATTTGTAGCCGTATTTTTATATTGTACATTTTCTTCACAAATAAGTACTTTTAATCCCTTAGAATTACTAACTCTTGACACTGCTACATACATTTGACAATGATTAAATCCCGGCCTCTTCAAAAACAAACCCACGTTGGATAGTGTTTGACCCTAGCTTTTATTTATTGTCATGGCATATGACAATATTAGGGGAAATTGTTTTATTTGGAACTTAAAAGGCAATATTGGATCAGAAGGTGTTTAGGACATCCTTGAAATTAATACCTTTGTACCAACACTTGATCCGCACAGTATTTGAGCTTCTAAAACATGATCAGCCAAACTTTGAAATGATCATCATTGTACCATTGCACAACCTCAATGAGTGATCAATATTTCCTAATACAAACTTTCTACATTTATTTTGGCTTGTCATATATTCCATGTTATGGCTACTTAGATGTATACTCAAAAGAATCGTGTTTAACTACAAATAACATCCAATGTTACAAAAAGGTTGTATTAGAAGATAACATTTGCATGCATCCCGTAGATGAATTAGTTTGATTTTCTTTCCCAATAGCATTATTATTTTTTGCGACCGTTAAATTTTCAACATTTTCTGCAAACCCAAAATAAAATAATATATAAACCAAAAACTTAATTTATTCTGTAATTACATAATTTGATATTTCTTTTGTAAAAAAAGGAAACCCAAAAACTTAAAGCAATCTATTATTATGAAATTTTATGATAGATATGTTGATAAAATAAAGGGAAAATGGCACTTTTTACCCCTGAGTTATATAGTTATAGCATTTTTTCCCCCTCAATTATTTAGGTAAGCACATTAGCCCCCTCAATTATTCTAAAAGTGGTGCTTTTTTCCCCCTGATATATTAAATTGACATTTATACCCTTAAAGTAAACATTTTATTTATTTTACTACTCCAACAAATTATTGCGTATACGTAGGGATGACCACGGTTCGGTTTGAATTGAACCGGATACTAAAGCAATCGAATTAATAGTTTACGGTTATAATTCAGATATAGAACCCAATATTTAAATGTCAATTTATTAAAATTATGTATCAAAAAATTGAATCTTGAACCGTGAACGGCGGTTCCGGATCTGATTCGCGATTTTGAACCGTCTTTATTTTAAAATTATATTTTTTATTTTAAAATAGTCTAAATTCAACAATAAATGTATTTTATTTCTTCAGTTCGGAACATGAACCGACCGTTCCGGTTCACGATTTTAACAAACTCTAAATATCGAATTTCGATTCTAAATTGTAATTGGAATATTTCGGTTTGGTTGCTATAGTGTTTGTTTAGTTTGAACCAAATTATGGTCATAATTTGTTGGAGAAAAAAAATAAATTAAATATTTAGTTTAAGGGTAAATATGTCCAATTAACATTTCAGAGGGAAAAACAGCCACTTTAATCATTTAGGGGGAAAAATGCTATAGATATATAACTCAGGGGGAAAAAGTGTCATTTTCCCTAAAATAAAAATATTTTACAGTATGTATTGAAAATATTTATTCTTCAGATAAATATAACAAATTATAAACTAATATGAGATTTAAACATAATTAGCCCAACAATGATAATATATTAATTGGTTTCAGGATAGGCCCAAATAACCAAAGCAATTTATTAACCCAAACTCGCCCATGAACAACGAAGTGGTTGTATTTGTAGGTTCCCCTGGCAGATACCCAATCGTTGATCCCTGACACGACCATATATATAATATATAGAATATGTATAATATAATAAGAAGATAATTTTTTTTAGGGTAATAAGAAGAGAATATAATATATGAAAATCTAAAAATTTTGAGACGATAAAAATTACAATTTTATAATTAAATTATAAAATTAGAGTTACTACTAATTAAATTAGAGTTAATTTACTTCTTTTACTATAATTTTGAATCACAAAGTTTTTTTCTTCTGACCGTTTAAATTGCAATTCTGATCATTTAATTTAGTGTTAACTTTTGTTTTGTGTTTTAAGTAGTGTTGTATGGTGGTTAATCAATAAGACTGACATACCACCGAAATAACATGTAAGTTTAATTCATACTTGGAGCAGTTTGATATAATTAGTTTTATCAGTTGATTAACCATAAGCTTGAGATATCTACAATCTGGTACAATCTACATGCTCCTCACTTAACTTTTACTTACAAAGTTAAGTTCCACATCAACTAAAACCTTCATAGTTCTTGTACTCTGAACTTTGGACTTAGAATTCAGTTTGTCGAGTCTAAGGTACATCTCGTGTTATTAACTGTCATGTTCTTGTTGAACCAAGACTGTTCTTTTATCTGGTAAATCTTGATTTCTTCATTGTTTTGGTCTAATTTGATGCACAACTTGTCCTTTTTTTTTTTTTTTTTTTTTTTTTTTTTTTTTTTTTTTTTTTTAAATATTCTTTAGGTCTCTTCAACTGCACTCACATAGCTTGATTCCTGCAAAAAAAATAAAAAAAATAAAAAAATCAAGATACTACGAAAGGGCTATCACCAAACCAATATATAATTTACTATAATACATATTTTATAGTAGATTAGAAATAGAACCCAACTTTTATTGAGTCTAATGCACGGAGTACATACAATTTTAATAAAAATAAATTGTTGTTGTAAACAAAAAAAAAAAAGGAAATATTATTGAAAGAAAGATTAAATTACAAATTATTACAAACTTATTTGTAAACTACAATAGTAGTAGAAGTATAATTATTTTATGATTCACAACAAAGTAATATTTTTTAGATCGTCTGGATTACTTATTCTTGATGCAGTCACATATATGATATAACTGACCATGAACAAATACTGATTTCTTTTAGTAGCAATCCAACCTTCAACAATGTTTATCTTGACTCTTATTTATGATCATTGCATATGACAGCTTAACGGAAATTGTCTTATGTTAAACTTCAAAGACAATCTAGTGTACCTATGATATAAAATATATAGAAAAATCTATATATACGTGCTTATGATATATATATATATATATATATATATATATATATATATATATATATATATATATATATATAATAAAAATCAGATGAAGGATCTGGAAGTTTATCACATCCTCTTCTACTCATCTCTCATCCTCATCGTCGCTCTCTCTCTCTCTCTCTAGTACCAGATTTTTTATGCAACCACTCTCAAAGCATCACAAATCTAGCAACCATACTATCGTAAATCTAAACTAATAGTGAAGACGAGTGCTGGGATAATAATCATTGTAAGTATAATCCATCTATCAAATCTATCTAATTCGTTTAATTTAGCCAAGCATTTGTAGATTATCTTTACGATTTTTTTTTTCAATTTTAAGTCTAAGAATGACATAATCTTTGAATAGATTAAACGATATGAGCAGTAGGTTCACTTAATCGTCTCTCTATGATTTTTTTTCTTTAAATTTAGAAATGCATGCGTTGGTAGCCTAATTTATTTCACGGTGGCGTACTTGGATGGAGATTATTTTTCTTGATTGTTGTAGATGTATGAATTTTTTCTTTATTCTCTTTACCCGCAAATGTTTCTAACTGTTTCTTTTTGGTTTTGTTTTTACTTTTTGCAGAATGAGTAGCTTCAAAGAGGCATTTGAAGAAAGCTAAGTATTTTTTGTGTGATTTGTTCAATAAGTAGATTTTGTATTCATATGATGTCTACTGATAGATGTAAAAAGAAAATAAAAGTAAAGTTGTATTTAACTTTGTTTTCATTTGAAATTTTGGATTGATTATTGCTGCTATTTGATTAGAACTGTTTGAGTAGTTGTTCCTTTTATAGCTTGGCATTTAGAATTGTTATTATTAATTAGCTGTTGTTATAGTTAATTCTTCCTGAGAAATATAACAGGCCCGTGACTATTTATGACAACTTACTAAAATTAAAAGCTTAATATGATTTGTTTGGTGTTTACTGTCATCTTAATATGATTTAGTTGTTATTTGTATTGATTTTTTAAGCTGTTGATATACCCTTTTTGTAATCATATTCCCATGTGATTATTAAGCTGAACATTGTATTCAAGTAGTATATGAATTTATTCTCTAATTTAGTATAGTTAATTTTTTTCTTTTAGCTCTGCAATAGTTAACTATGTGTATGATTTTTTCAATAAATAGTTGAATTATATATATATGATGCTTTAAAGTATTGCCTTTCATAATAATGATGAATTGTGTTACTCTTAACTTTTTTGAATATTAAATTTCCCGGTATAATTTTATTTTAATTTGTTTATTTAATTTAGACTGATTAAGTTAGGATGTTTTCTAATGCTATGGCTTAAATTGTTTTTAATTATTTATTTTTTATAATGTTTTGTAACAGTATTTTTCAGGTACCAATGCTGTGTCATGTTAAGTATATGACTACAACGATTATAGGAAGGATGCTTAAATGCTTTGGCACCTTGAAATGTCAAGTAAGTGTTCTTAAACATTACTAACATTATAGTGTTTTGGGACCTCTGTTATGTAACTTTTGTTTTTATTAGATTAAGTGTGTTACTCAAATATATTCCTAAATACAATCTATATTGGATGATATACATCATTATTTTTTAATAAAAAAAAAAACTTCTAAGGTCTTCACTTGTGATTGTCTTCTACCTTTCAATGATTTCCAACAAAGAAAAAAATAGAACAGATAATATAAAATATAAAATCCAACCTAAATAAAACAGAAAATAGCAACTTAGAAAAGTTCAAAACAGTCCCAAACATGTAGAAATAAAGCAAATAGTCTCAAACAATGTAGAAGCACTGTCCTTCAAAGAAACACAGATAAACAAAAATGGTTATCAAATTGTTGATTCATCCACAGGAACTTCATCTTTACCAATAATTTATTCAACTTTGACAGTAGCTTGTTTCTTCTACTTTGAAATTTGTACTGGAAAATTAATCTAGTAGGCATCTCTTAACTGCATCACTTTGGGTTCCTTTAACAGTCCTTTCTTGGTCAGCATTCAAAATGGGGCTCTATACCTCATGGTCATAATAAAATCCCTAAATAGGTAACATAAAATGAGTTAGAAAATGCAATCTTAATGATATATACATAAAACATTTTTATCAAAACTGAATAATTAACTCACCACATCACCATCTTTAAGTTCCAACTTTGAAGTCAAATCTTTATCCTTACTATCAAGAAGTCCAGGGCAGAAAATAGCAAATAGAGATGAGTCAATCTTAATTTGCATTACAGTAAAAGCATTAAGTAGATTGACAAATTGATCCTTCCTCACAGCAATTTTAAATAACATTCAAAGACCTACCAAACTTTCAAGCTCTATGGGGATTTTTCTAACCACCTAAAAAATGAGAACAAATTTAGTTAACAGTACAGATACAATCTATGTATAGAGGTATAGATCAATTAAGATATAGTGAAAAATAGCACTGTACTCACCTTTTGCTAAGAAGATTTGAGCTCTACATCTTTCATACCTAAAAGCTCAACACATAAACAATCTCAAAGTAACAAAGTTGCATTACCATTACCATCCAATGACACAGAACTTTGACCCTAAATCTTAAAACATCTTCAAGTCAACTTCTACTACATTTTTTGCACAAATACATTCAATCTTTAAAATCCAGTTCTTTGTTACATCCTTGAGACTTGCAAGAGTCATAGTACCAGTCATATATGTCAGATTTAATACCAACAATCTTATAGGCCTCCCAGTAGTCTCCAAACTACAACCAAAATTTAAAAAAATTACAAATACCATCTAGACTATTCAATAACTGTTGCAGTACTGATACTTCTTAAAGGACTATGAACAGCAGTTATCCTACATAAACAAATAATATGAAATTCAGATTTACCTACTATAAATAAAATACAAAATGTTAAGTGTGTATACTGTACCATACTTTAGTCTGAAACCATATTGAATAGTGTAGCTAATATATACTGCGGATAAAAAAGAAATTCTATACACTTACTTTGATCTTAAATCATCAACTTCCTGAGGAGAGGCATTCAAATACAGTTGGGTAGCATCATAGCATCAAAAATATTAGTCTAACGAAGACAGAACGTTAAACAGTGAGCAAAAGTTATACAAAATGAGTTTACCTATTCATAGCATACCAAACATTCTCTACTCTTGATCTGTGTAGAGCCTCTACTTTCAGGTGTTTCATAAACTCTAACACAACTCACTCGTATTGCTCTTCAATATCTAGAGGCTTTAATAAAAATGTACTGCAGATCAGGTACTACGAACTGAAGAGATGGACAAATGGGGATTGGAGATGTATATCAACAGAGGTTTATATAGACTGTAAAATTAAATTTCGAAATTTGAATATTATCTTGGAAGCATGAAGCTGCTGGAAACCTTTCACTTTCCAAGAGCACAATCAATAGCTGATTATTTCGAAGCATTTAATGCTATATATACAGATGTAAAATATGTATGTGTCTATCTGTATGTCTGTTGGTGTATATATGTAAATCAATTTATATTTACTTATTTAGGTTAAAGTTATCATTAGAACTCTTCAATTAGTAGAAGTCTATCTATTTTACTTGGTATCCGAACATAGTAGCCGGATAATGCACATTGAAAACCCAAAAGTCATGTGGACACAATTAATTCGACACATATAACTAAATGCTTAAAACGACGCAGTATAGCATAGGCGGGAAAGTATTTTTGGTAGAAAGTTACTGCTTTATTATATTGATAGATTATGCCAACTTTGATTGGGATGGGGTTCGAACCTAAGACCTCTCTTATTGAAATCAATGAGTAAGTTAACAATGAACTAACTGAAACTAACGGAAAAAGATAATATTTAACGGAAAATTTAACGGATAATCATATTCATTAAGGATAAATTAGGAAATCTCAAGGAAAAAATTAAAATCTGATCAATCTGAGCCATTAATTTGATTAAAATATTTGACCGCCATTTTTCTACCCATTATAGGCCTAACTCTCTTGGGCTCTTATTGGTATATACTAGTTTTTTACGCGCATTGCGCGATTGGGATAAATAAGTACTTTAAAGTATATTAAGACAGGATTATATTGAAATTGTTCATGCATAGATAATTGAAGGTTGAATTTGCGTATTTAAATAGGTAATTCTTCTCCCAAAGGTTGAGTCCCCAACCCCAAGGGCCCCCCACACTCCGAACCGACAGAGCATTGTGGGAAGTTGTAAATCACGGTGACTCAATGGTTCAGAAGACAAGGCCAAATGCTGATACGCACAAGGAATCTGCCCACTTTGGACATAATTCCCGCACTGCCGCCGCCGAGGTTCAAACCTTCGTCTCTTCTCCCAAATACTACCCACTAAACCATTGAGCTAAGCCCGTGCGAGTTAAATAGGTAATTCTAAATTTACAAATGCAAGATAATATAGTCAAGATTGATTATTTTTTTTTGAAATAAAGTACTTAATTCATTAAGTCATAACATGAAGCGATTACATCAAAGATCAGTGAAATGGTAAGCCATTTCTTACAGTCAGGCATAGAAACAATTTTTCTAACAATGCAGAAAATTTGAATCGCAAACTGTATTACAAATTGGAAGCTAAACTCCTTGAAGGGCCTTAAAGCTTCTTTAAATACTACCTCAATGATCTGGCCGACTGTATACAAGGTTATCTCAGAAGTTCTTGCACATCACCTGGGTATTCATCTCCATCTTTTGGTGCATCGACAATATTACCGTCTTGAGAACCCACGATCTTACATCAGTGGGATTAAGAGATTTCTCAGAGGGTAGCCTATCAATTGAATTGAATTTCATATCAGAGTTCAGAAGAGGCACTTTTCCATTGTCTTCTAAATTGCCCAGGATGAAGTTAACAAAAGCCATGACCATTTTTAGCATTTCAAGCTTCATACAAAAGCTCGTCATATAAATGAGATAGAGAAAACTCATCATAAAAATGAGAAAGAGAAAACTCGTCAAAGAAACGAGATAAAAAGCACAAAAAACTGTAAATTAACAGAAAAACAACCCGAAAAGCAAAACCACAAAAGTAAGCTACTGACTCCTCTTAAACCAAACCCAAAGCTGTACAAACCACTTTCACATTTACCAAACCTAAAGCCTCTATGATTTTCCCCTTTCCTTTTTATGGGAAAATAACCTTGAAAAAGGTGATGGAATATGCTTCTTTCTTATGGCCAGATCTGGCGGTTTGGCAGCAAAAGGCTTCTTTCTGAAGAAGTGAGCTTTGACAATGGTGAGGGGCTTCTTGCTTAGATCTGGACTTTGCGATTATTGTGGCAAGAGGTGCGGAAGCAAGGTAGAGGCCGGAGGGTGGAGATGGAGAGGGGGGAAGGGAGGAGGAGAAAGAGGTGGTGGAAGGCAGTGGGAGAGGCGAGGAGCAGACGCCGCCTCCGCTAAGAGGAGCAAGCGGAGGTCGCGTCCGCCGGACAAAGCCGAAAAAGTGGTGAAGGAATTAGAGAGAAGGAGAGTCAAGATTGATTATAATTGTCAATAAAATAATTGTATATGT